CTCCTGAGACTTGACCTAAGCCAATGTGGACAGACAGCCGACTATTAAGTCCCTCCAGTGAACATCAGTAGCCTTCAATACATGGACTTGGTCAGTTAGGATCAGTGCTGACAGAAAAAAAAAGGGAGGGGTGGGGGAAAGCATGAGCAAAATCTGAAGAACCCTGGTCTGCCCTTTGGCTGTAATACAGAATAAGTGAGGAATGGGGGAAGAAAAACTGGGGGTCTGGAACTGAAACTATTAGGAGTTGAAGTGCTTTCTTTCCATTAAAGTGTAAACACCACAATGTGGAACCCAGGAACCTCAGAGCGCAAGATTCATAGGCTCAAACAGCACTACTCAGAGGGCTCTACAGCTGACCCTTGAACAACATGGGAGGTTAAGGACACTGACCGCCACCTAACAGAAAACCTGCACGTAACTTTTGACTCCCTGAACTTAACTACTAGTAGCCTACTGTCGACTGGAAGCCTTATCAATAAGGTGACTAACCAGGTGACTAACACATATTTTGTATTTCATATGTATCATATATCACATTCTTACATAAATTAAGCTAAGGAAAATATTAAGACAATCATAAAGAAGAAAAAAACGTATATTTAAAAAAGTATATAAAAAAATAAGTGGACCCACACAGTTCAAGCACATGTTGTTCAAGGGTCAAATGGCTGTTAAGTGCTGCTCTGTGAACCTATATGATAGCCTAGTGATTTTGCTGTGCTAGCTCTCTGTTCTCAGGTTAGGGCATTCGAGAGCCAAGGGTACCAAGACATGATCACAGGATCATGTTTGTCCTTGCCAATTCTGAAGGGACACCTAACCTACTCCAAACCAGCAGCAAAAAATGATGTATTTGAGCCACCTCTCGAGGCAGGTAAATGAGTCTATAAATATTTATGTTGTTTATTTCATTCAGATCCTTCTTAAACCTTGTCTATTTAATCTGCATTTGGTAAATCAGCACATGCTTAGGAGTAGATAAGGATAAGTGATGGTGACAAACTAAGATCCAATTTCCTAGAAGAGTCACTAAATCCTACTTACTCCAGTCAGAAAACCAGTGACAAGAAGCCCGGGGGGGGGGGTGTCCAAAAAGAAAAAAAGAAAAATTTCCATGACTTCACTTAGTTTCTTTCATCTCCTTGGCCTTGTGGCCTGCCCATACTTCAAGAGCTCAAAAACACAGCACTGGTATCTTACCTTCTTAATAAGGTCCAATGTACTTTACCTATATTACTAAATTCAACAAGTAATACAGCCACTTAGAACACAAAAAAAGGAAAATGAGTCAGGTAAGGTCATTGAGCAAAGAGAGGAACCAACCAACAGCTAACAATAAACTGCTCATCAACTTGTGTTTGTGGGAGGAAGGTGGGTATGCTCTCACATCCATAGAGGAAGCAGGGCTATCTTTCCTAACCTTGAACATCAGTTTCTGCTATCTTCTAATAGGGAAAACTTACCATCTTTCTCTTTCAATTAACAACTCCGTGAGTGCTTTCTAGTAATGAGGGCCTGAACATCAACCCATATTCCTATTTCAAACATGGATAAACATCATATGATACATAATGCAATATTCCTTCTTTCAGTGAAATCCAGCATAACAGACATGGTCTGGTAAACTTTGTATATTTCCTATTGGATTACTACTTTTTTACCTCATTAATAATAATGCTCATTCTACCAAAGTCAGAAATTTCAAAAACAGTCCCACAAACTAGATACAATACTCATTCAATATAAGGCCACTAAAGTCATTTGGCAGTTAAATTATTTACCAACAGCAATTATAAATTCAGTTGTCTCAATGAAGAGTTTAGAGTCTATACTCAAGACTGAACCCTTCCTATGAGGTAAGTCAACTGGAGAAGCACTCTTTGTGGACCCAGCCTGAGACAGAGGTAGGAGTCACAAAGGGGGTGGAGGGGCATATTTTGGAGATTTAATTATTAGGCTCTCACCATCTTTATTTCTTAGTAAACTAAAAAAAGTACAAGGGGAAAAAAAGAAAAAGAATCAAATCAGAGGAAGTGGAAGGATGAAGATTAACAAACTGGAGACACTCAAAAAGCCTGTTTCCTGTCTTTAATGTAGCACCCTCTGGAATATCAAATGAAAGTTATCCTGTTAACCATTAAGTACCAAACTGGTACAGGCAGCACAATCACAAATATTTGAGTACTGAAGCTGACTCATAAAAATCTAAAAATATTTCATGCTTTAGGCTTTCACCATACCATCAGTTTAACCCGTTCCTCTCTTTCAATTATGTTATTTTCAAACCAATGTAAAAAGTATTTTAACCCAGTCTTGGAAACTAATTAAAATTCAGCAAATAAAAAGAGCCATATGCAATTAGCTTTTAAGGCATTATCTTCCTACATCCAATTCTGGATTTACTAAATCAGTTGTTAAATACCTGTGCTATCTACTACACTAAAATAAATGCATATATGGTTATGAAAAGGGTTGCCTAAGAGTCTTAACCGGTATACCTTTGAGAGAATATCAAAATCCATATATGAAAAGCTCAATTCAAAACTGATCTCTTTGTTAAATTTTCTGAGAATCCCGGTTTTTAATGTCCTTGAAAGGTTGAAATATCTTTTCAGATCATAAATAAGTAAAATCATGTATACTCAAAACTTTTTTAAAGTTATGAGCATGGGAAACCAATAAATTTAGGCCAGAGCTTGTTTTGTTTTTTGTTTTTTTTTACCATACAATCAACAATAGTAAATGAAGTACACTGTATTTCTTCTCATTCTTTTTGAAAATAAAGACATTTTATTTTTTAAATGAATGGAAATGGAAGGAGCACGGGAACAGCCAATTTCAGGGGCACCAAGTTAGAACTTTTCAATGTGAAGTACTCCCCCAGTTGTGAGGACACATACTGTACATCCATAAGAACATGTATACATACAGAATTCCAGGAAGAGATTTTCTCCAAAATAACCCACTACAAAATTTCTAGAACATCAAAACCTTCACTACAATAACAGTTCAATAAATTATACTAAAAAGGAAAAATACTTAATAATGAAAATCAAATAAAAACTCACACGTGACAATATCCTTTAAAAAGCAAGCACACGTGTGTACACACAAAGCAGAAACGACCAAGGCCTTTTCTTTTTTTTTTTTCCCTCAAGAATACTGGAGAAGTCTAGTTCTGTGAATTATGCAAAGGATAGCAAATATTAAGCTGTGTGTTTATGCTACTGTACTTCCATTTTTAAAACATGCATCTCAACTCCCCAGATACCATCATCCACAGAAACCATGCAGCTATCCAACAGACTTTCAGTGTCACCATTTATTATTTATAGCATTAAATGGGGGAAGTGGCTCTGATGTCACCAACCCTACCAACTGGAATCACTGACTCAAAAAACACTTTCACACTGGAGAAAATCTGGCTACGAAAACATTTTGCTGGGTTAAGTAGATTCTTTCACCTTTCCTCTCAATCCAGGGGTAGAGGTTGTTACTGTGTTAGGAGAGATACAAAGAAACTGTCAAGGTTTCCACAGGAAGAAACCCTGGGCATGTCCATTTGCTGAGGTAAAGACTTCCTCCCCCCAACTCTCCAAAGCCCAGTTTGATTTGCCCAATGTTCGAACTGGCAGGTAATAGCTGCCATGTTTCTTTTCTTCCACCAAACCATCCATCAAGCAGAAAATTCTTTGCTTCTACTAACCACCTTTTCATAGTTCTGTTTCTAAAAACCCCTTCTGGCTTCAAGTCGTAAAACGGAAAGCGGTTGGGGTGTCGGTAAGACCGGGAAGTCTGGCATGGCTACCAATGGTCTGTAATAGAAAGAGTGATCGCTTTCCGAGGGGCCTAGGATTCTCTCCCTCTTTTCTTTCCTTCCTCTTTTTTTTTTTTTTTTTTTTTTAATAAGAAAGAACTGAGGGCAGTGATGAGAAGAACCCTCCCCCCCGCCCAATTTTCCCAAAGCAACGCTGGGAAACATGAAGTTAGGGTTTCCCTTTCCTGGGAGATGGAATCCAGAGTACCTGGGGCCTTGCTATGCAAACATCCCTCACCGCGGAGTAGGAAACCCTTTGTCCGAGAAGCCGGACACCACAGGGGCCCGGGAAAGAGGCCCCTTATCCGTCACAGCCTCAAACCCCAGAGCTCCTCACCTCCACCCTAGTAAGGCCTATCCCGGCATCCACACAGCCTACGTTGGAGAGAGGGTGCTGAGACCCCTACTAGGACGCGGAGACCGAGGCCCTGATCGATCTCCTCCGTACCCCCCCCACCACCATCTCACTCGGCCTGAGTGTGGTTTGCAAGAGCGGTGCAGGCCTGGGCCGGAGAAATCCAGGGGAAAAAATCCCTTCCTAAGAGAAGGAGAATGAGATGCTAGAGCGAGTGTGAGCTAAGGCCACAGCATAATCGAGCGAGGGTCCTTTCAGAGATGGGCCCGGATATAGGACAGAGGGAGGAAGGAGAACCGAGGAGCATGGAGGGGGCCGGGCCAGGTCCGGCCTGAGATCTCCAGGGATCCCGAAGAACCGCGCCGGCCCCGAGGCCAGAAAAGCGGAGGGCCCCCGTTCGGGCCAAGGCGGTGGGGAAAGGCTGGGGCCGGCCTCGCGCCGGACGTTGAGATGGGCAGGCCCGCCCGGGGCCCGACGGACGGAAGAACGGTCCAGCGGGCCGCACTCACCATGAGCTCGATGGTCTTGTCCTCAATCACCGAGTCGGGCTCCATGGCGGCCCCGGCGGCCCCGCCTCGCTCTCCCCGCGCAGCAGCGAACGGCCCGGGCGGAGGAGGCGGCGGCGGAGGCGGTAGAGGCGGAGGCGGCTATCTTAACCACTCTAGCTGCCAGCCCGCCCGGGCCGCCGGCAGCTCCGCCCTCCCCCTCGGCGAACGCAGTACGCAGACCAAGGACTACAGCTCCCAGCAGGCGCCGGGGGCCCGCAGAGCGTTGTGGGTATGAGAAGTCAACTTCAGGCTAATCTCTCTCGGCAGCCTGAAGCTGAATTTTGAACAAAAGTAGCACTGAACTGTCACTGTGGGATGTGCAAACCTAAAGAATTAAGGGCTCCCCCAAAAAAGGGCCTCGGGCTCTCCACGACTACATATCCCAGAAAGCCCTGCGCGCGGGTTCTCCTTCCGGCTAGTTTCCCCTGACTTCCTGGCAGCCCCAGGCGACTGAGACCGGGACGGAAACTCAGAGGTAACTCTTCACTCGTCAGAGATCCTGCGTGTGAAACCGATTTCCGCACATGCGCAGTGGTTGCCTCAGAGCCTAGTCTACACCTAGGTAGCGGCAAGGTTGGTCCGCGAGCGTCTGCGGCTAGGGACAGATGTTCAAGACAGGTGGGTTCTAGATACGTTGGGAGGACTTGGGGCTTAGAAGTGGGAGGGGCCAACAAGCGAGAGAAGCTCCGGCAAGGGAAAGGCTCTGAGAGCATGGGCATCACAGAAGTGAGGGGTTTGGAAATTTCGTTGGGGAAAGTGGGTTTATGGAGATGAGTTAACTGTAGTGCTGTCTGTACGCACCACGAACTGGGAGGAGCTGAGAGACGAATGGGAACCTGTGTATATTGGATATTGAGCCCCTCGTATTTATTCGTTCAGGAAATACTTGTTTTTTAAACTTCCAGCCTCTGCCAGCCTAGGCACTAGGAATCAGCTCCGAGCATTACAAGGAAGGACTCTGTTATCCTGGTGCTTAACTCTAGTGGTGGGAAAACAGATACTAGACTAAAGAGTAGGCGCTAAGAAGGACCGCAGCTGGAGACCTGGAGACTCCCAGTGAAGTCTGCCTTCAGCTCTGTGTGAACTTTGTCAGGTTTGTTAGCGCTCGCTAACCCAAGACCACCAGGTACATACTGATTGAAAAAGTTGAGTTTATTATCGGTTGCAGTGAGAGAGAATACGCACCAAGAGAAATTAATCATTGGCGTCTCGGTAAGAGTTGTTAGGTAATTTAGGAGAGGGTTTAAGGAAACGAGGCTTTACTCTGGATTAGATACTGTCAGGAAGTGGGGGTATTCCTATGATTGGGCATCTTAATCATGACTGGAACAAGGGAACAGTAGATTGAGGCAGAAGCTGTAATTGCTAAAGAAGCAGGAACCCCTCATCAGCCAGAATGGGGATGTTTGGTCATTTTTTGTGGTTTGGACAATGTTCATGTTTTATCTGCGTCCAAATATAATTAAGGAATGACCTTGTTTCTGTCTTGATCTATCCACAGTCAGAGAATGGCCCTATCTGATGTTTATGTTCTGTGAAATTCTGTTCAACAGGAGAGCACAAGGCCTACCTAACAGAGCCGTCTATCATCTAGCAACATTAGAGCCAGGATAACTGTAACAGACCAGCTTCCAAATATCAGAAGCTATTTTTCTCTTTCTCTAGTGTTTTGAATTCTCTGCACCTGTAAAGTGAGGGGACTCAGTGACCTAGAAATCTTTACATTTCTGGGGCGCCTGGGTGGCTCAGTGGGTTAAGCCGCTGCCTTCAGCTCAGGTCATGATCTCGGAGTCCTGGGATCGAGCCCCGCATCGGGCTCTCTGCTCAGCAGGGAGCCTGCTTCCTCCTCTCTCTCTGCCTGCCTCTCTGCCTGCTTGTGATCTCTCTATCAAATAAATAAATAAAATCTTTTAAAAAAAAAAGAAATCTTTACATTTCTAAGGATCAAGTAATTACAGTAATTTATATGTATGCAGGGCACAGTGTAAGTTCCACACTGGTACAGTTTGAAGTTTCACTGTCTTTATCTGGTACTTTCCACCAAAATAATTAAAAGCAATAGGAAGGAAGAGCACAGAATTGGAAAGTTATTACCACTAACTTGCTGTCTGCGTTTCACTAGGCCCCTTCCCCAATCTGGACCTTAGTTAATAAAACAGGAGTAATACAGGAGTTAGAATAAATGACCTCTGTTTCAGTTATGTGGTGTATCATAATAAGCCACACCCAAGAAATAGTAGCTTAAAATAACAGTGGTTTATTTTTACAATTGTGTGGGTCGACTGAACACAGCTGGGCCCACATAGTATACCGAGGTTACTCATGAGACTAATCAGCTGGGAGCTCGTCAAAATGGCTTCTCATCCTCTAGGGCCTCTCTTCTTCATTTGGTGTCTTATCATTCATTCAAGCTTCTGCATGGTAACTAGCTTCCAGGAAGACAAGCCCCAATGAGCAAATGATCATCAAGCCTTTGATTGCACCATACTTGCTAATGTCCCATTGGTCAAAGCAAGTTGTACAGCCAAGCCCAGAATCCATGTAGAAAGGGACTATTATGCAGTACAGAGAGTCAAGTTTCATTGAAGACTACTAATGTAACAGCCACCCAAGACTCCTAATGTACCAGGATTTGCCACAGGACCTACCATGTAGGGTTAGAGTAGGAGTCACAAGCTGAATTCCCCGATATGTGTGTTTATCCTACATCATTTTTATTGTTTTAAAATTTGACATTTTTGCATTTTAAAGTTTGAATTTCCATCTTCTCTTGAAAAATTAGACCATCTAGCTTTTTGGCTATGTGTGGCAACAATATGCAGGGGTTAAGTAGCAATGACCTTCTTTACTTGAAGCATGGCTCTATAGATTTCTGCTGTCACCATTACTCCCTGTTGTCTTATATCTGCCCGCTCCACTCACTTAATTTTTGTGCCTAACCCACAGAGAGATTTGAGTGTGCAACCCTTGGTGTTAGAACTGTAATGGAGATAACTCAAGGCTTCTGTCCTTTTATTAAAATCATATCCCACCATAAGAGGAAAAAGTACTATTGGGTCAAATTCCAGGAGCTCAATGAGATTAAAAAATCATGTATTGATAGAAGCTTTACCCAAGCTATATGAGAGGCAAGCTGAGCCACGGCTTATTACTTATGTTAAACAAGAACTCAGGTTCTCAGGTATTTTAACTGTTTTGGGCTAGAAGCCCACTGGTGATTAGATTTGGTCATCAGTAAAGGCAGAAGACTTTAAGTCATATTTCCCCCCGGTTTTTCAGATAGCAAGACCTGCTAACAACAAAGTGGTCAGGTCCACGGTCCCTTAACTGAAACCCCGAGGTCTGAAACCTATTCATAATTCAGAATTGCTTAGTTTGTGCAGACAGTATGGTACACATATTGTATATATAAAGTAACACACTTAATGGAGTCTAGGAGAGCACTTCATAATCAAGTACATTAACTTCTGTGCCTCAGACCATGTGTGTGCCTGTAATCAATTTATAGCGTCTTAGTTCCAAAATCCATTCTTCTTTTACATACTTTGGAATACTGGAGTCCAACTAGGACCCTGTGAATGTTTCTCCTCTGCCAGCTGGCACAACATTTAATTTTGTCAGTAGAGAGCCCTAGAAGAACACAGGCCAATGAAGGATCTTCTCTTCCTAGTTCTAGTATACTTTCTAGTATACTTACCTTCTTGCTTTTGTGGTATACAGAACCAAATGGTTTGCAGAACCATACCTTCCCTGCAACACACATACAACATGTGCACACACACATGGGTGGCCAGGACATTCAGAGGGTGACTTCCCAGTGAATTCAGTGACACTTCAGTGGGTAGTTTCCTACCTGCCGGCCACAACCTGTAGCACCTCAGCAAACTTCAACCATCCAGTGGCCCATAACTAACCTCTCCCCAGTGAGGTCTGAATCTCAGCCTAGCAGTGGGGGTGGGAGGGCTCTTCCAAGTTTGTTTCTTCCTTGGGTACTCAGTCTCAGCCCTACAGGTAGTGATTGATCCCTATAATTGCTCTTTCTGTATTTAGCATTGTTTTTGCCCCTTAATACCCTGTTACTAGTTAATAGTTCTTTCTGCTTTTTGTTTATTTTGTTTTTTAGATTCCACATTTAAATGAAATCATATGATATTTGTCTTTCTCTGACTTATTTCACTTAGCAAAGTACCCTCTAAGTCCATCCATGTTGTCCCAAATGGCAAGATCTCATTCTTTGTTATGACTGAGTAATATTCCATTGTATATGTATACCACATCTTTATCCATTCCTCTATCAATGGAATTGTAAGTTGCTTCCATATTTTGGCTTTTGTTAATGCTACAATGAACACAGCAGTTCATGCATCTTTTCAGAAGTACTCTTCCGTTTTCTCTGGTAACTATCCAATAGTGAAGTATTGGATCATATGGTATTTCTATTTTTACTTTTTTGAGGAAACTTGATACTGTTTTCCACAGTGGCTACATCAATTTACATTCCCATCAAGAGTGGAAACAGGTTCCTTTTTCTTCATATCCCCACCAACACTTGTCATTTCTTCTCTTTTTGATACTAGTCATCATTCTGACAAGTATAAGATGACATGCCATTGTGGTTTTGACTTGCATTTCCTTGATGATTAATGATGTTGAGCATCTCTTCATGGATCTGTTAGCCATCTGTATGTCTTCTGTGGAAAAATGTCTATTCAAATCCTCCGCCCATTTTTAATCAATCTATTTTTTTTTTGAGTTGCTTATTTCTCCACTTTGGATATTAGTCTCTTGTTGGACATATCATTCGCAAATATCTTCCCCCATTCAGTACGTTGCCTTTTCATCTTGTCGATGGTTTCCTTTTGATATGCAAAAGCTTTTTATTTTCGTGTAGTCCTAATATTGTATTTTTGCTTTTGTTTCCTTTGCCTGAGGAGACATATCTAGAAAAATGTTGCTAAGGTTGATGTCAAAGGAGGTACTGCCTATGTATACTTTCTTCTAGGAGTTTTACGGCTTCAGGGCTCACATTTAGGTCTTTAATCCATTTTGAGTTTATTTTTGTGTATGGTATCAGAAAGTGGTCCAGTTTCGATATTTTGCATGTTGCTGTCCAGTTTTCCTAACACCACTTATTGGAGACTGTCTTTTCCCCATTGTATAGTCTTGCCTCCTTTGTCATAGATTAATTGACCATATACGTATGGGCTTTTATCTTGTCTCTCTATTCTGATTCATTGATCTATGTGTCTGTCTTTGTGTCAGTACCATACTGTTTTATGAAAGCTTTGTAATATAAACAACAATTCTTTATATTAAATTTTCCCGAAAGAGTATGGCAGATGTGAGGGTATGTGACTTTAAACTAGATCATGAGGTGTTGTGGCATCTTTCTAGCTTTCTCTTGGGTTACTTACTCTGGGGGAAACAAGCTGCCATGTCATGAGGACACTCAGGCAGCCCTGGGGAGCTGTCCAG